AGTCTCAAATGGGCACCAGATGATGTAACTAACACACACAGAAAAAGACCAGGGTTACTGGCCAGGCTACTGGAACCCCTGAGAAGATAGCCCTCGGACCCTCATCAGGTCTGGAAGTGAACCAGCTTCTACGGCTCACTTTTCGGCAGGAACATAGGCAGGTCTGCACGGGGAGGGCAGAGGGACATGTACATCTTTAAAGACCCAGCTGTTCAGAGTTCAAAAAGGGTGCCCAAACTGTACCCAGGGCAAGGTCCCGAGGGGTTTGGAGAGGAGGGACGGGGACAAGAAATGGAGAAGTGGGCTACGTGATATCGCTGTGGGGATCACAACCAATGCCACAGAACATGATGTGCGTGAACTGAATGGAAAGCTGATCTGCTCCGAAAACCTCCACTTAGTTCACAAAGTTAAACTACAAAAAAGACGCCCCGTTCCAATCCCACCCAGAAGCAACGCAAACTCCCGATGAAGTGTTTTAAAGGGTTCACCACGGTGGAACCCCGCGCTTTGTCCCATGTGGGGCTTGACAGGTTTGAGTCAGCCAGGCAGTGGGACTCCGCTCCTGCCCGCTGCGTGTGGGGCTGGCACCCCAGGCGGTCAGAGCGACAGTGGGGGCTGTCCAGTGCCACTGGCCAGCACACTGCAGAAACCAAAGGAGCCCAGATACGGGAGCGTTTGGAAACATTTGCTCTTTAATCGCCACGTAAAGTCAGTTTCTTTAAATAGTTACAAGTTCTGACTAGTGAAGACAGAGTAGACGCTGCAGGCACTCAGTATCCCCCACTCCCTTCTTCGCTCAAGGTACAAGTGGGCACTAAATGAATGTTCCCCTGGTGTCAGGTGTCGGCAGCCTCAGGCCTCATGGCTACGAAGCAATGAAGTCTAGTGACTCAAGAGGAGTCCCCTCGCCAGTTTCCAGAGAGGCCCTTTGTAGTCACACCCGAAGGGGAGGGGCAGCGAATGCTGACCCCCTAAGCAGTTGAGGCTCCGCCATCCACCCAGCCTTCCACCTGTCACCCCACATCCTGGGCCAGGCACCGAGCTAGGCCTGGCACCACCCACCCTGTGTGCC